GAAGATGAGATTACGAACCGTATAGCAAAAGCTCGAGGTGCTTTTGCTAATCTCCGCCACCTGTGGCGCAGACGCGACATTACTCTCGCCCTGAAGGCAGAGTTTATAATGCAGCCGTCCGTTCAACCCTCTTATACGGTTGTGAAACCTGCCCGTCAGGTCGACAGACATGGAGAGTCTAGTCACTTTCGACCATCGGTGCCTTCGCAGCTTAACTCCTGTCTTCTGGGAGCACCGCGTGATTAAAAATCATGTTCGGCGTCGTGTATTTGTTGCAAGAATAGCTAGTGAACCATGCAGCGCTCTTATAACGCGCACCAGGCTCCGATGGCTGGGGCATTTGTTGCGCATGCTAGCGCACCGCCTCCCGCTATTTGCATTGTTTGCGCGCCGTGGTGCAGTTTGAAGACTAGGAGTGACCAAGAGATGACTTGGTCGAGAACTGAGAACTGGTGCGAAGCAGCGGGTAGAGGTTGCTCTGTGTAGCTGCATCATTCGTCGTTTTCGGACATGAACTCTTTATTTATCGTTTCGCTCTCTGTACTTTGCCTCTGCAAATTGTTGGTCTAGTAGCATGTTGCATTTAGACACTGTGTTGGCTTCTACTATATGCTGAGGCAGGTCATTCCAGACATTCACCACTCTGCGTTCGAAACAGAGTTGATGGGCGACCCGCTTCAAATCCGGGACGATAAGTTTATACCGGTGTCCTCGCGTGCAGCTTGGTGTGCGCAGATGAAGTAGTTGTCTCAACATCGGGTAATCACCCAGATGTATTATCCGGTGCGTCATGATGAGGTCAACTCTCGGCCGACGATAAGATAGGGTGTATAACCCTAGTTTCTTACATCGGTCTTCGTATGGCATACCTCGTAAGTTGGGAATCAGCCTGGTGGCTATATGCTGCACCCGCTCAAGCTTTTCTACTTCGCCCCGGGTGATGGGACAGTATGCGGGAGTGCCGTACTCCAGCATTGGTCGTATTATCGAGACAAAGAGGCGAGAAGCAATCTCCTCGGACCAAGTGTCTATTAGAATCACCCTCCAGTTCCGATCTCCTACGAATTCCGCTATATAATATTTAAGGTAATCTTATCTGCTTTTGAATTTTGTGTAATGTAGCTTTTTTGCCTTTTTGTACTGCGGCACATTTGCTGATGATGGTGATGACTCCGCCATTTCTAGTGCAACGATATTTTTGAATTATGTGTTAGTTTGGTATCATCAGGATTGAGTCGATTGTATCATATGAATACCAATTTTCGGTAACTGGGCTACCTTTTTAGTCATTGACTTGTGCGAGTGTGCTTAAAAAGTGAATTTTGCCTATGGACCTGACATTAAGCATGATCACGAAAAACATACTATTTATTGTGGTATTGATGCTGTCTGTTGCATGATCACCTGAGTGGGTCCGAGCGTGGTACACATGGTAGGTTAGTAAGAGGGTACTGGGCTCGAGTCTTGGAGTAGGGAAAGCGTGTCATGTCTGGGTGCCCAGAGAACTGGGGCCACAAAAAGTGCTGAGGCATCATGTTTAGACTGACGTTGGCTTGGCACTGGACTAATTTTGTCATTTAGACAAATTGGAGAAAAAGTAGGATCACCGGATGTCTTGCAGGCGAGAAAATCAGTGGCAGCGTCCCAGAGTGTGGGAGTTCTAGGCTGTTCACTTGGTTCTCCATCAAATACCACAAGAGGTCGTACGGCTCTATGTCATAGCTAATGTGGCCGGCTATGGGGTCACTGACTACTCTCTTCTGTAACCGGAGGTGATTACCTAACGGAGGGCGGATGAACAATCTTGTTGGCCACCAGCTTCTCTGTGGCCTACAACTGAACATAAAGAAGGCAAATGAGCCACCCGGATGTCAACGGTCTTCGTGAATCCCCCCGCTGCCTTGCGGGTCAGGTCTGTATGACCAAATACTCGGAATGTGGTTCCTTAAGCCAACCCACTTCCTCGGCCTGGACAACTGGGAAGATCTCTGCCCACAAAACACATCAACCATCTAAACTTTCCAAATCCTTCCACTGACTAACCGTTTTCCCCCTTGTTCTTGTTGGCTGCGTTGTGGCACTGCCAATGGTATATTGGTCAAGTGTTGAATAATACTAATAAATACCGGATATAACTGGGGTGGCAATAGGTTGGATGAGGCTGTGAGAGGTTGAGTGGATATATGAGGCGGAGTAAGGGGCAACAATGTCCTGTTGGCCGATTTCCTTCCTTTTTCTTTCCGCTTCTAGTGTTTGTTTTAACCTGTGAGATAATAACTAGGCATAGCCCAGAAACAGTTGTTATTGCTCCCGTTCAACAGCGAATATTGCTTTTTCGTTATGTATGTAGGATTGTGGTTGATAGGAAGCTTTGGATGCCACCGAGTATTCCGTAGCTATATGCGTTTTACCGACACTTACTCCTGGGTTGTTTAAGCCGTCCATGGGCGACAGCAAGCTGCAAATTGTCTATCCTTCTATCTATCTATATCTACAGGTTGTCCAACCTTAGAGGTGCCTTAGTTATTGAGATCGGATTGCGATACAGCCAATGAATTACCATTGCCCGATTGCTCTAAGCACAGGCTTTCCTTTAATCCTTATGTATGAGGAATTCAATTTCGTGGGACTTCCAAATTCAGAAAGAGGAGAACCCGCTTTATCTGTTCATTGCTTTTAAGGCGTTTCAGTAGAGAAATAAAGGATTGCGCTCAAACCTGCTGCCAGTGCAGATGAATTATCAAGGTAGAAATCGAATCACCTAGTATCTACATAAGATGCACTCATCTCTTCGAACTTTGACTGAGATTTCTCAATGAACCTACTCACCTTTACCGGTGTTTATTGTATAGGGCCAATCACGGACCTCTGTAGAGCTGTTTCTTCAAACTGTCAGTAAACGGTGTAGAGGGCTACGGTAGGTGTATAGTGCATGAGTCGCTGCGCGGCTTCTTTGCTTAAAAACTTGAAAATGATCAGGCAACGGTGCTTTGTTTTCCTTTTCCCACGTTGACATTTGCAGTCGACATCAAACATACTACAGCTTCTCAGTAACGTTAATTTTACTTTATCCAGATCCCATCTATACTGAATATGTAAAGCAACCACATTTTTAATCTGCACATTAGTTCGTGCCCCTCCTAGCTACCTTGCTTTTTCCATTAGATCCGGATCATATTTTCCAATACGTTACTACTTCAGCGAAATCAAGTGATATTCGAGAGGTTTACTGAGCACCAGCGTCTTTTCATCTCATTGATTTGTTATTCCGAAGTGATCAATTTATCTTCCATTTCTGAAATGAGTTTATGGTTTGGAGAGGGACCGCTTAGTTGTTCTTTTGAGGCCTCACCTTTCATTCGCTTTTCTGGTAGTGTGGAAAGCACGCTACGCTTAGCTTGCCAAGCACGGCGAGACCTTGGTGGGGCCATCACAACTTCGGCCTATCAGTGACCAAACTCAGACGCAATGGTAATATAAACTTTGCTAAAAACCAACCTGGTGCGATTTCTTCTAGTCGGCTGTTGATACGTCAGTTAAATCCCACGGTTATGTTTATTCATGCTGATCGCTGTGTGGCCGGGTGACAATCGTTTTCGGGTATATTTTTTGTCAAGCCCCTCAAAGCGGTTTCTGTCTGTTGCATAGAGCACCCACTACCTGGTCCTTTAGAAGTCATTTGCATCGGATTGTTCGTTCTTTCCTCTGCGGACGGTTGGGGAGTTTCACTGCGTTCCTGTTCGAAAATGCAGACAACGGGGAGCGCGACAACTCGTTGGTTTTGTGTTCCCTCAGCCAATAGTGGCCTGGCTTCGATCGCCTTCATATGTATCGCTGATGGCAATTTGGTGCGTAACGTATACCAACTTCCGAGCACTCTTTAAACCATTTGTTTGAAATACAGCATAACTTTAGTTGGGTGATATGAGCAACCTTGACGTTGAGTTGGCAATCGCGTCATGTAGAGGGAGGGCTTCGCGCATGTGTCGCCACTCTTCCAAGTCATGAGCTTTGGCTTGCGCTTCGTCGGTTGATTGGATTTCAGGGACATCATGGACAAATATCGATCTTTTGTCGGTTTGCTTGCGGTATTCTGCTGGGTTTCGCTTCCTTTGCCGACGCTTACTCCAAGGGATATCGGAGAGCATACGAACGCTGCATGACGAATCACGAACAGGGGGACCTAACATGAGAGTTCTCTCTGCTTCGTCACCCGACTGAAATGTCACCTAAAGTAGCCTTGAATCGTCATAATAAACCGGGTTTGGGTGGCGGGCAATACACCACAAGCTGATTTGTTTGGCCTGGATTCCTATTGTTTCTACTCACCCAGTAGTTTGTCTTTGATAGAGTTTACCTTTGTCTCAGGTACGTTGGAGCATATTATCTTCATCAAGTTCGGCGTCTTAGATTTCGTAATTTTTGATAAGATATTACATTCTTTTACTGGCGGTATCGTGGACGGTCTTCTCGGAGGCGCATTGGTATTTGTGTCATCTCTAACATTTATTGGAGTAGTTACAGTTATGCCCGCTAACCTTGCCCCAGGTTTGTGTATAATGAAACTGGTCTACATACGCCTGACATTGTCTTTATTGGTGAATATCCACAATGTGAGTAACTGAGGGCAATACCCAGCTTTTTGTACAACACGCCCGAGTTGGCTAAAGTCATGTCCATTGGGTGCATTAATTGTCGAGTGCCTCCCGTCACTTCGTAGAATTCACAGGAATAAAAATTCCACATATACCTCATAATGCGAAAAAATGTTTTTGCCCAACGCGAGCTCATTGCAATCATAGCTTGTAGCAGAGCCTCGTTTCGCATTTCTCGTTTCACACAGCGTGAGCTATCTGCCGATCGCTCGTTGTTGATTTCGCCGGAATCTAAAAATTCGTCTTTCTGCAATCATGGTCCTAAAGCTTCTCGCAGACAATGTACGATCTATTATCAGTTACGTCCCACGTATTCATCACTTCACACTTGTATTGTTAAATCAGGTGATTCTCCCGATCATCCACGACCTCGGCACCGCATGTTCAAGCCCACTCTCTTAGTGTCTCAGGATGAGGCGACTGGATCGCATCGTACTACTGCAGCAGCAACAGGCGTCTCGACGATGGTGCGGAATGTGCGCGACCAACAACAACGTTGGAAGGGCAACGTCGAGGCCCAACGAGCACGTGTATTTCAAGAGCACACGTTACTAAATTGAATCCACTCTTGACGCGCCATTTGACCACAATTGAAACTATCTTTTTTGTTGTTATCGCTTTGTCTTAACCTGTCGCCTTAATATCTTATATATCCAGTCATCTTTTGTACATTGCAATTGTTTATGCATTGCTCAAACCCTGGCCTTCTTGGTTGAATTCTTGTGCTAGTCTGCGTTGACTTCTTTTGCTCCACACGTTTCACCCAGCTCAGTGGCTCATTACTGCCGGCCGTTTTTCGTTTGGAAGGGGGTTTCGTGTGTCACCTCTTCCATCTTTGCAACACCCTTCAGACCTGTCCCGGTCCCCCCATGTGATTGTATTATTTTTGAATGAGGCTAACACTGAGGTGATGCACTCTGAGTGTTTTACGCGAGCGATTTGTGCTTCTTATTCTGCTGTTAATGGCGATTGGAATTGACCCGCTGATTCGCATGCATTTGTCCTCGATATGACAACGCTGGATAGTGTCTGGTTAGTTTCAAGTTTTGGTTTACCGTGTTCGTCGGCATGAAGTCGGTGTTCGGGATATAGATGTCCGGGCATTCAGCTTGCCGTATCCAGGTGTCAGGTTGAGTCCCCAGCCATCATCGATCTTGGCCCTTTTGCAGTATCCCAGCCCACGTGCAACTGCTATCGGCTGCATGTCAGCATACCGTCGGTACGTAGTACGGGTGTATTTCTGACACCATCATGTCTAAACTGATATCGCCACTGGGATGGATCATCGACCGTTACGACAAGCTTTTTATAAGCAACTTGGTGGCTTAGCATTAGAGGTTGCTGCTAACGTCGCATCTTCGAGTCACAATACTGCGATCTCACCCTGACGAGTACGAATATGCTGAATACCAGTTGTTGAGTACTATTTTGTGTGTGGACATCCACCATGTGTTTCAAATAGTAATTGAAGTGAGAAACATGGTATTGCAGTTTGACTCCGTGAGCCTTGATTGTTGGTTTCAGAAGTCTTAAGTACATCGCTCCCTTTCATAAGGTGTAACATACGTATTGCGGTATACGCCTTTGTTACGCTATTCTTGCCTTATTTTCGTTTTCGTGCTACTTCTGCTGTACCCCACAGTATCGAATGCAGCGTGCATACAACTGCTCAAGTCGTAGACTTGATACCCAGATCGGAGTCTCCGTCTGGATGCATCTTTTTGGCCCTATCTCATATCACCTGCGACGCTACTTGCTATTCAGCCCCCATGAGGCACCCATCGATCTTGTCATACTTGCCTGCTGCTGCTCATTTCATGGCATGTAATTCCTTCATTATTGCTTGGCTTCCCGATCTCGAGTGCCCCTATCTAGCATCCCAGACTATTAATCAGCTTCAGAGGTCGTGTACCGTCCGTCGGTAAATATACAAATTTATTTATTTATTTAGATGGCCGTGACAACATTTTGCCTCAGTAGACGTAAGCTTTGTTTCACTCACCAGTACCACTGGTCCTACCTCGGACTTTCCTCACCAGGGTGAGGTGTGTGTGTGTGTGTGTTGGCCACCGACTAATGAGTTGGTTCACGCCACTTGCACAGCTTTTTGCATCCTCGCCTCTTGTAGTCTCTAGCTGCTGGCGGTTAATATCTGCAACTGGAGACGCCGATCTCTCTCTATCGAGTGCCCCTTTGTTCTTTTCTCACCCATTTCGCTTCCCCATCATCTGACCTCGTTCGCACCAAACACCTTGCTCACCAACACTTTCCTCAGTTTTTTGTCTCCCTCAAAATTAGTTTCATCATTGCTTTTTGGTGGTTCCTAACTCTCCCAACGTCAAATCAGTGATTGTTCGCACTGCTGTTTCAAAATGGCGGTCTGGTGCGAATAACGCGTTATACGGTTGGTCCAGATCTTGGTGCTGATTGCTTGACCACTTTTCTGTCGTATTTCAAACAGATACTGTTGTCTTCTGGACGCTTATGTTCGTTTGCATAAATTATTCACCGGGCAGTTTGCTTTGTCCACATAATCTTGTTACATTAGGATCCTGACATAAACGAATATTGGCATTTCAGTATCCTTTTCGTTATGCATTTACGGGTTTATTAGATCGTCACAAATGCTCACTCAACGGTGATTCATCTGCCGTCTACATCAGCTCACTGATTTTGCACTTCGAATTACTCCTTTTCTAATTCTTGCGACAAGGACTCAGAGGCATCACTTATTTGCTATAGCTGCCCCACTATGCGTTTATCGGTTCCGGACTCTACAACACTTCTGGATTTCCTGCTGCTGTTTTCACAATGAGTCGCAAAGTGGCGGATAACAACACCATTAGGAATCGATTATTATTATTGTTGTCTCAACTTAACGGACGCGTAGATCTAAGTAGGGCGCAAGGATCGAATCCAAAACTCTGGAAAAAGAACAAATCTCTTTTAAACACCGACGGCTTGAAAATTGGGTGGAGTATTTTGAAGAAATGTTCGATAGGCATGTGTCGCTACCGTTAACAACGTCCGTTCCAGCGTCAAAGTGGTTCTAGCAAACTTATACCACAAAGGCTTGATAGTTTGGGATTTTCTCATTCCATCGAAGTGCTCCATGACTCGAAGGTCTTCGCCTTGCAGGCGCTCCTCTCCCTCCCCCATAAAAACCCGCAAATGTTTTCTTTACAACAATGCGACGTGGTTGGTGTGACTCAAGTGAAGTTTTATGTCAAGGCAATTTTGCAGTGGACCGTCACATAAATAGTTCGAGTTCGTATGATAAATACAATCTTCGGCAAATACTCACAATAGAAGAACGATCAGGCACACTTGCTTCATACCCCGTCCTTCTGTTCCCGTTTGTCAGATGCCGACTGGTGATTCTATGCTATGTATCCGACTGCTTGAAAGACGTGGCGACATCACAAACGCAGGGAGTAGTAACGGAGACCAACACAACGCGAGCGCGTTGAAGGTGTGTATTTACAATTCGTTATCGGTATCGGATGTGTTAAAACCTGGTGTATCCGCAACCTCTACAGAACTCTCCCCTAGAGTGTGCCCGTAATTAACGCTCGATATGACGTTTATGGAACATTGAGCTAGTTTTGATGGGAATGAAACAACACGACCTGAACGTGTGTGTATAGGATCGTTTGTTGGGGGCCGTAGGGATTCCGGCGTTTGAGAATCGGTCAGGTGTTTGTCAGTGGGCAACAGCTTACAAACAGAAGTGTTGTGAGTTCTTTGGGTTGATCCTTAAACATTCACAGCTGGGTCGATGTGTGCGGGTTTAAAACAATAAAAGCTTACGAAGTACTTAGGTTTTCGCAATAACACCTTGAATGGACCTTCATAAGGTGGTGTAAGGGGTCTTCGGACAGCATCGATGCGGATAAGGGCGAATGTACCCGTTTGTAAGTCCGAATCTGTACGCTGCTCTCGCGTGTTTAGCCGAGGAGGTATCGGTCTAATGGATCGAAAGTACAGCTTCAGACGTTCAGCATAGGACGTAGGCTTCAATTCATCAGTCACTCGGGAGTCATGTATCATCACACCTGGGAGTCGGCGGGATGCGGCAACAACAAGTTTGGGTGGTAGGCATCCGATATCTTCTTTGACGTCATTGCGAATACCACGCAGAATCGCTTAAGGCGTTCAGACCAACTCGCATCAGGCGAACTAGCTGTGATGGCGGTTTTCAGTTGTCGAAGTAATCGATTGACAAGGCCATTGGCAGCGGGAGGATATGCGGTCCTCTGGAAGTGAGTGCAATCGACTGAAGTCACGGAAAGGGTGGAATTGAACTGGGATCCTCTTTCAGTAGTGACAGTAGCTGGCACACCAAACAGTGAAATCCGCGATTCGACGAATGCATCAGCAGCACTTTCGGCGGAAATATCTTGTAAAGTTATCGCATCTGGACAGCGAGTGAAATGAACCACACAAACCAACAGGTAATTGAAACCGTTGGAAGCGGGTAACGGTCCTACTACACCAAGGCGGATGTGTTTGCATCGTGCCTCAGTGATTGGAAAAGTACCAGTAGTTGTGACAGTGTGTCTGTGGATCTTGCTGCTTTGACCACTAAGACGGCCATTAGTTCATTGTCGGATGTTTGCGCATAATGAGCCAGATGTATCGGTCGGTGATTAGTTTCACAGTAGATCGAATACTGGGATGCTGTAATGTTTGGAGATGGTCAGAAATTACTCGTCGGTAGGACTGTAGAACAAAAAGTCTCAGTTTACTGGTGGAAATATTACGGTATATTCCTGTGTCAGAATTTAGCGCGGGTAACTACAAGCATTTCTACGTAGCGTTCGATCGAAGCGTGGGCAGCAGACATTTCTTCTAGCTCAAAATGTGTGCGTGAAATTTCGTGCAGGTGTGCGTCGGCCATAAGGTTGTTGTGACTATCAATATAGCGAATGTCAACGCCATACTTTCTAAGACAATCCAGGTGACGCTTCTCTCTAGGATGATATCGATCACAAACTGCACGGAAAGCTTACACAAGGGGCTTAAGATGCATCAAGATGACAAAACGTCGACTCCCATGGATGTGACGGAATTACTTTACAGCCAGGCACATGGCAAGTGGCTCTCGATCGAACGTACTGTACCTGGTCTGGGCAGGTTGAAGCTTTCGGGAGAAGAAAGACAAGGGTTGCATATCGCTACCAAATAACTGCTGCAATACGGCATCGACGGCGGATTGTGAAACGTTTGTTTTAGAAATGAGGGTGTCGTTATCGTCCGTTCTCAAGTAAGTAAGGGAAATGGTTTGGCTCAGCTTTTGTTTGACGGCGTCAAACGCTGCCTCGGCTTCTAGAGTGAAAGTGTGTTTTGGGATTGCTCTTGAGCAAATCAGTAGGGAACCGTAAAAAAGATCCTGGTTCTAATCGGCGTCAGATGAGGTATTCGCACGTACATTCCGGCAGCGATCAGTCAGGCAGCGGAGCACACAATTCACATCAAGCGACAGCAGGCAAGGCAGAACCACGCGAATACAAGCTTGCCGAAGAAGTGTATCTCAGTAGTTAATTAAGGCAAGGTGTAC